AACCTGGGATGTAAGAGGTTGATCCGCATGGTGTTCCCGCAAGCCTTCTTCATCTTCAAATCAAGCTTTATCCACATACATCCACATTGGTTGCGCTTTTCCTTGCTAAGATCGTTAAAAACTCAGCGCTGAAAAATGTATTTTAACATAAAGGTCAACTAAAAAACTAAAGAAAGGCTTAACTAATTTATTTTATGAAACACCAAGCAGTCGTCTACTATCTATGCATCCCCAAACACATTTTTTCTTGCAAAATTGGATCAGAACTACTAACTACGAAATTGAAAAAATGAAGAAATTTGTGGTCTATTATTAGCCGTTTGATCAAATTAGGAGAGAAGACGGAGTAGTAGAAGACGGGGGTTGGCGCGGAACTAGACATTCAGCAAGGGGGGGCAAAAGGCAAATATTTTTTTTGCCCCCCTCCTAAACATTTCTAGGGGAGGGGGCAAGAAAAACTTAACCATGAAAAAACTACCTTACCAATTCAGGATATTTTGGGGGTAAAAACTACCTTACCAATTCAGGATATTTTGGGGGTAAATTTTTATATTTTAGGCATTCTTTTCAGTTGGGGGCAAGTTTGTGTGGGAAAAAATCTTATATTTATATTTCAGGGTCAAACTTTTTTTGGGGGGTGGGAAATTTATTTTGGGGAAATCTTATATCCTAATTGCTTATTTCTTTGTTTTAGGTGCAACTTTTGCTTTGGGGGGCTTTTCAGTTTGGGAAAATTTGTGTATGGGAAATCTGAAAATATTTATTTTGAGGTAAATATTTTTATTTAAGGGCATTTTCAAAGTATATGAAGGGGCTTTTTATTAATCATAGGGTTGGGCGCCAAACTTATTAATTTTGGAGTAATTACCTTAAAGTTGAGTGTATTTATAAAACATTTGTGGATAAAATTAATTAAATTATAAATATTTGGTGGCATTCTAGAAAAGGGGGCAAAGTTAAAGCAATATGAATAAGAATCTGTGAGTGTAACTTTAAAAATCCAATTTGGGGCATTTTTTTAAGAAAGGTGGAAAAATAAAAAGAATCTGAGCTTATATTGAAAAATGTTAGAGTGGAATTTGAGTTTGCTTTAAGACTTGGGGGCATAAATGAGTGTAGGTTAAAAAAATACTATGGGGCCCTATATTTTTTCTTCAAATTTTCGAGAAAATTTGTTATATTTGGAAGTAGATGGACCCCTGTTTAGGACTTCTTGGGAGGGTCAAGCCTTCTAAAGGGAGGGAGCATGCCCCCCCCTTAATCAGGCTGGGGGGGTTGCGCGCTTGGGGAGGGGGCACAGCACCATTTTGGGCCTGAAAACCCACTGAAATCCAAAGATTTCACTGACCCAGAGGGAACTTAGCCCCCATAGTCCCCCCTCTGACTGTACGCCTCTGAGAACCAATCTATTATGTAGTATTTCATTGCCGGGTACTGTATCGAAATAAATGTTAGCCTCTGAATTATAACACAATTTCAGTAAACGGTTTTGTATTGATACATGCTGACAACTTTTCTTAAAACCTCTAAAACTTATGGTGACGGGCCTAATTAAGTCTGCCTTTAACTCGAGTGTTTTTAGAACAAACTGTTTTTTTTAGATTTTTTATAAATATTTATTGATACATGTATTTAATGCAGAATGCAGATAATAATTTTTCACGTCTTCTTGTTTCTTGGCTGCCCTGTTTGCTTCGTTCAATTAGCTGCATAATATGCAGTTTGGAACACCTGTAGCATATCAATACTTGACTAGCTGCAGCTCCTGTAGCACATAGTGAATACAACGTTTCTCTTGTTTAGATAAATCAACTCACATAAATACTTGACTAGCTGCAGCTCCTGTAGCACATAGTGAATACAACGTTTCTCTTGTTTAGATAAATCAACTCACATAAAAAGAAATATTGTCAGATAAAATGATAAACTTGACGAAGACGAATATATTTCAGAGTTTATCACGATAACCAATGACAGTGGACGGAGAAAAAGTTTTTAAAGATTCTTAGCGAGATCAAAATCTCAGCTTATACAATTTTTCAGTGTTGATTGGAACAACTTTTATGTAGAAACAAATTCTTGACTTGGCCATTAAACTATTTTGAACACTTTTGAAAACTATGTTTATAAATAAATTTCAATTTTGCAAACTTAAATACCTGAAATTAGAACTTGTTCCTTTGAAAACCTACAGTGAGACCCAAAAATGTGTGGATTAGTTAGACGACATTTTAAAAATCTGGTTTGTATTTGAAGTTGTTATAAAGTAAATATTTAGGCAAATGGGTCTGTGTACACTACACAGTTGGTATATTTTATGTGCATTGGACTATTTATACAGCATGGGTATATTCGCAACTTGTTGAATAAGTTTGATTATTTGAAGAAAAAACTATAGAAGAAATAGAAATGGTTAAGTTGTACTCTTTTTAATGTTGCAGATCCTCCAATCCTGAGAGAAAAATGTCAATATTGAATAGTATTGATAACCCCTAGAAACAATATATCTACATCAAATATAATGCACACAAGTTTTTATGATTAATATTAATGCCAAAATGAAAAGGTTCAGATAATTGCAAATATTTTTGAAATTTTATTCATTTTACAATTATTTTACCAATATATGTCAAGTCCATTTAGAACTGATCTGAAACCTTGATATTAAAAACAAAAAATAGAGTTATGGTCACAAACTCTAATTTTCTAATCTCTAACTCTTTGCAACCCAAAATCTTAGACCTTAGATATTTCAGATCAGAATGCTATTGCAGCTCAAATGATTATGAAATGTCAAAGGCTTAATTATCTATGGTTTACACCATAAAGTTTTAAGTACATAAGGGTTAGAAGATTTAATTTGTTGGAANCAAGACCCAGCCCCATAGGACAAAAAATGGCGAAATTAATAATTGTGAATTAGAATAAAATAAAATAAAATTTTAAATTCCAGTAACACATTTGCCCCCATTTGCCCCCAATTACAAAAAAATGCCCCCAATTAAAAAACATTTTCAAATTCCACATACACATTTGCCCCCGATTTAAAAAAAATGCTCCCAATGAAATAAAAATACCCCCAATTTATTTTTAAATTATCGTTTAAAAAAAATTTGCCCCCATTTCTTTCAAATTTGTCGATCCCAAATGGGATTGAAATAGGAATTAAATGGACCCCTTAATTAGGTTTTTTTTAACGTTTTGTAACAATTGGGCGTTTTGTTATTTGGCACTTTTTACCCAGTCCTTATAAAGTAACTAAGAAGTAGGTCCTAAAAATATAATTTTCTAATGCTTTCTTTGCAATTCGATGTCATCATAAACCTTTTTTATATAAAATGAATTTAGTTCTTGGTCACAAACTTAAATTTTCTAATCCCTATATCTTAGAAAACTGATGGTATAAACCTTTGATGTTTCAGGCTTATATAAGTCTTATACAGACTAATAGAGACTTATATAGACTGTCTTCAGAGCCCGAATTTTATTAATTTGAGCCGCGTCTCAAATCCACCAAAAACCGTTTCCAATTAAATCTTAAAACATTGAATACAATATTAAGAGGAACCAACCATATTTGAGCCACGTCTTTAATTTAAGCCGGGGCTCAAATTCTTTAAATATGGCCTCGAAATTCTTAGTTAAAATATCAAAGGTCTGAGAAATCGGGTTGCAAGTATAAAAAGGAGTTAGAATATCAAATTTTGAATAAAAAGGTGGCGAAAATGAAAGGATTATCGGATACTCTCTGATTCTTGTCTTCTTTAATTTATAAACATCATTAAACTTGTTAAAAAAAAGTAATTTTCAAATCCATACAATCTTTGCAACCTGATGATGCAACCCTTTGATATTTAAAAGTTTTATTTTAAAATATTCTATTTTTAGCCTAGTTTTCCGACGCCTGAGGATCCGATGGGCTTCTTTAAAGGTTAGACATTTTTTTAAATTTTAAATCATAGTGTAAACCCAACCAAGGTTCACCCATATGTAATTAGTATCAAATAAGTTCATTGCTCCCAGTTGGAGAAATAATGCCTAACAAATGCAACCTAAGAATAAGGCCAGACAATCCACATTCCGTCCAAAGGTATTGAACCCCAAGTATGTTTGAAGTCTAAAATACATAACATTGTAGGCGACCAAGGGTATTGAACCCCCTTTCTTATCTAGCAAGTCTATTTCGTTTAAAGAGCAGTTTAAAGAGCAGCTAGGGTAAGATCGATGCTGGAGAAAGGAATGAAACGGTATTCATCTTGCTGGCAAAGAAAGTAGATCGTCGGCCATCTTATCCCTGGGATCCCCCAGGACTTTGCAGTTAGCAGGAAGCATCTGATCAGAGGCGTCAAATGGAAATATATTCGCCCCAGGCTGTTTATGCTGTTTGTATTTAGATCAACTTTAGTTGGTCCAACACTAATCGTTTGTATCTTTATAATGTAAATATATAAGTTGTGTGCAACCATGTTTTGTTATTCTACTCAATTTAATACTGAATTCTTTTCAAGTTTATAATAAAAAAGATGAATTTTCTTTTAGCTTTTGGAACAATCATGTTTGCATTTTCTGGAGCTTCTACTTTTCCCACCATACAGGTAATATATTCTATACTAGCTGAATTGCCCAGCGTTGCCCGTGTAATTCTTTTTAACTCGAATTTGAAAAATAAATATCTATGTTCTTATTTATTTATATATATAAAGTTGTTTGTCTGTCTCTTTGTTTTTCGATCATAACTCATGAACCTCAGGACCAATTTGCCTCAAAGTTTAATTGGGGAACTCGGTAAACCCACGGGAATGGATGTTCTTATCTTGGTTTAAAATTCTAAATTAAGTTTGTAATTTCAAAAAAAATCATTTTACTGATAAGTTAGTATAAGTCAATTAATAAAGGATTTTAACAAAAGTTAAAAAAATTTATTTTTGTTTAGGCAGATATGAGAGACAGGACCAAGTTCCCAATATCTACAACAGTTGCATTGTCAAGTAAAGTCATTAAATAAGATTAATTAAAAAAGACGAATCTTTGTTTGAAAAATATGTTGTTTTCTTCTCTTCCATAACAATGTTGTTTAGTTCAGTTTACCCTGTACATAACAATGTTGTTTAGTTCTGTTTAACCTGTACATAACAATGTTGTTTAGTTCTGTTTAACCTGTACATAACAATATTGTTTAGTTCTGTTTAACCTGTACATAACGATATTGTTTAGTTCTGTTTAACCTGTACATAACAATGTTGTTTAGTTCTGTTTACCCAGTACATAACAATGTTGATTAGTTCTGTTTATCCCGTACATAACAATGTTGTTTAGTTCTGTCTACCCTGTACATAACAATGCTGTTTAGTTCTGTTTAACCTGTACATAACAATGTTGTTTAGTTCTGTTTAACCTGTACATAACAATATTGTTTAGTTCTGTTTAACCTGTACATAACAATATTGTTTAGTTCTGTTTAACCTGTACATAACAATATTGTTTAGTTCTGTTTAACCTGTACATAACAATATTGTTTAGTTCTGTTTAACCTGTACATAACAATATTGTTTAGTTCTGTTTAACCTGTACATAACAATATTGTTTAGTTCTGTTTAACCTGTACATAACAATATTGTTTAGTTCTGTTTAACCTGTACATAACAATATTGTTTAGTTCTGTTTAACCTGTACATAACAATGTTGTTTAGTTCTGTTTAACCTGTACATAACAATATTGTTTAGTTCTCTTTACCCTGTACATAACAATGTTGTTTAGTTCTGTTTATCCTGTACATTAGAATGTTGTTTAGTTCTCTTTACCCTGTACATAACAATATTGTTTAGTTCTGTTTAACCTGTACATAACGATATTGTTTGGTTCTGTTTATCCTGTACATAACAATATTGTTTAGTTCTGTTTATCCTGTACATATCAATGGCTGCTTGTGGATATTTTATTCTGGGTGACCAGGCGACACCTAATATTATTGACAGCCTATGTGAAGGTCCAATGAAGGTAACTGAATAATTATGGGATTGTGGAATAGAAAGTAAATTGGGTCCGTTTTCTTGAGACTTTTTAAAATTATTTACTTGAATGTTTTTAATCATCCTGACAGAAACAATCTCAAGAACTGACGAGGGTCAATCCAGACCGAAATATCCTTTCAATAAATGAGCAAGTAACATTTACTTTTTTTACTCTACAGAGGTTTGGTTCATCACCATCACCGAATTTTAAATTGAATCTAACAGACTTCTAAATTTAATTACTTAATTTTATGTGTCATATTTACTTTATTTGCTATATTTGTTGTAAAGACTAAAACTTTGTGTATATAACAAATATTCATTTTTGAAAAGAAATTGCAAGATGTCTTTTGGGAAACTGGTATTTTGGCCGGGATGGGAATGGTGCAATTTTTGGAAATTGTACTTTCAACATATATTACATTAATAACTATAGAATTAAAGATACGTCTTATAAACTTAGGTGAAATTAAGAATGCCAAATTATTAAATCAAAAGTGAAAGGTTTTTAAATTATCTATGTTTTTAATAAATTGTATTTTCTATTTTCAGGTTACAGTTCAAATAACAATTCTTCTTCATCTCTTCTCAGCACTGCCCATACTAATAAATGCACCAAATCAATATTTTGAAAATATTCTAAGTATTCCTAAGAGTAAGTAATGCATTGTATTTGCATATCATTTAAATCAAGAGTACAAAGCATTCTATTTATAGTACAGTGATAACCAAAAATTCTGAAATAGGAAGACGAATTTTAGATTTAAATTATGACTTAGAAAAGTACGTCCATTGAGCAATAGACACAGTAATTGTTCTGTATAAACCGACCTATTTCACTTAATAAGTGATTTAATAAGTGTCCAGTGCTTTGTAACAACATTAAATACTATGATTATTTCTATAGTGTCGTCATCCTATTCCATAGTTTTCTGTTTATCCCTGTATGTGCAAAACAAATGAGTCTGTGCCACTATAGCTTTGATTTTCTTTAAAACCTACATCATTGCAACCCAAAGTCTTCGAAATTAGATGTTTTAATTTTGTTAGATCAAATAATCTAAGTTCAAAATGTCAAAGCTTTAAATCATCAGTTTGTAAAAAATTTTGAGGTTGTGGCAAAAACTCAATTCCAAACTAAATATTAGTGAATTTTTCTTTGTACAAAATTTCTGCTGACGAGCAGATGTTTTCTTGAAATTAAAATTTAAATTTAGATCAAAACTTAAATTTTTTTCTTAGATTTCAATATCAAGCGATGTTTGTGGAGAACTTTTTCATTCAGCTGCTTGCTCTTCATTGCTGAAACCATACCAAACTTTGGTTCTATCCTAGATTTAGGTAATATTAGTTAAACCAAACCAAACTTTGGTTCTATCCTAGATTTAGGTAATATTGCTGAAACCATACCAAACTTTGGTTCTATCCTAGATTTAGGCAAAATTGCTGAAACCAAACCAAACTTTGGTTCTATTCTAGATTTAGGTAATATTGATAAAACCAAACCAAACTTTGGTTCTATCCTAGATTTTGGTAATATTGATGAAACCAAACCAAACTTTGGTTCTGTTCTAGATTTAGGTAGTATTATTTAAACCAAACCAAACTTTGGTTCTATCCTAGATTTAGATAATATTAGTTAAACCAAACCAAACTTTGGTTCTATTCTAGATTTAGGTAATATTGCCGAAACCAAACCAAACTTTGCTTCTATCCTAGATTTAGATAATATTAGTTAAACCAAACCAAACTTTGGTTCTATTCTAGATTTAGGTAATATTGCTGAAACCAAACCAAACTTTGCTTCTATCCTAGATTTAGTTAATATTGGTGAAACAATACCAAACTTTGGTTCTATTCTAGATTTAGTTAATATTGGTGAAACCAAAATTATTGAAATTACAAATATGGCAAATGAAACTATTTTTTTAAATTTCCAAGTTGGAGCCTCTACTGTGACAATGCTAACCTTTGTATTTCCTCCACTCTTCTACATGAGATTATGTGATATGTCGAAAGAAAATCCAAAATGGATCCCAAGGTAAATTATAAAATCAAAATATAATGACAATTTTTCTAATTACTAATAAAAAACAAAAGGTAAAACATATATAAATATATATATAAAGATCTAAGGATATATTTCAGGGATATAAAGATCTATGAGAGGATATATTTTAGGGATATAAAGATCTATGAATATATTTCAGGGATATAAAGATCTATGAGAGGATATACTGCTACTTCCTAATAACTCTAGGGGTGGTAGGAGGTGGTTTGGCAACTTACAATGCAATGAAGAATATCATTTCAGATTTTAAGGTAAATTTTTTCTTCAAGTCTATAGTTCAAGGGTATGAATTTTTTTTCTCTACAGATTATGGACACATAGAATCTAGTATTAAAACTTGCCTGAATTATAAACATTTCTTTTAAGTATGTGAGAACAAAGTTTAGAATTTTTCTTCAGAATCATTTTTATCAATTCTGCTATCTTAAAACTGTTAAGTATATATTTTTAAATGTTAATAATAAATCATTTTATATAGGTTGCCCCCTGCTACATTTCAACAGACTCATGTACTCCTCATATAGACACTAGTAATGATACAACTATATTTCTTTTTTAACTAAATTATCGTCAACTTTAATAGATTTTCTTAGTTTTAATTTATGTTACAATAAATAAACATTTGTATCACTGTTTAGAGGATTATAGTTAAACTATTATAACGTTAGAAAAAGCCAAAGTCATTTAGTTAAAAATAATAAATAATGTATATATATCTATGTAAGCAAAAGCTGGCCAAACGGCTGATTTTTTAGAAAACCCATGGGTACCCGAGGGGTACATTGGCAAAAAATCAAATATTTTTAAGTAGAGATAAAAAACTGTTGGCTATTTATAGGAAGGTTAATAAGGCGGAGGGTGGCAACAGGGCGTGTGCCCCGCTGTGATCCTTAAGGGGGGGGGGGCTGAATGATCAAATTTAGTTCAATTTATCAATTTTTCAAAGATAATACAGCAATATACAACAAAAGGTTAATTTTAGAGTGAATTTTGTAGTTTGCTACAAGAAGTTGGATGACTAAATTTGATAATACATTAATGGCAGTTTTATTTGTGAGCTTCAGATACCATATAATTTCAGCAAAATGACCAGTTTTGATAATTTTAAATTTAAAACAACAGATTTAAAAACAAAATTGATGAGTTTCAGATATTGTTTTTTTTCTAGAAATGTTGCGTGATCTGTTTATACAGCTTGGGAAGACGACTGAGACTAACCTGTGTTTATCACTATGTGTGTGGATGGTTATAGTGGTAGCAATTCTTATTCCAATCACGTGGCTTGGAACTCCTAATGATTTCTGGTAAACGTAAAAAAATTTTAAAAGTTCCGTAAAAACTTAAAAACTTTTTTAAAAAGTTACGATATTAAAATGTTTAAGCAATTTATAAAAATATTTGTTCACCAACAAATCTAAATAAAGAGTTGCCTCCACGCACCTCTGTCCCTTCAGTAATAGTAAATTCAACCTATATGAAGTATAACGCTAGGTACAGTACAAACTTCAAATGTACTCCGGCTGCCCGAGCCCGTTGCCTATTCAGCATAACAATCTATTGAGTTCTGGAACACTATAAAGCATTAGGAAATCATAAAACTGCGTATTTTGGAATGTTTTTAGAATAATGATTATAAAAATACTTTTTTTACAGCTTAACTAATGTCCACCGCACATAGATTCAGTCTGCTTATAAACAGTCTGGCCGTAGATTTTGCCGCTCCAACTCACTTATGCTTTTCTAATTCTGTTTTTAAAAAGTAATTGGCAAAATTCTCATCGATTTTTGCTTAAGAGCGTTGGACCTATAAATCACAGTGGTCGGTACCCAAAATAGTCATAATATGAATTCATATTTTCCAGGCCAATAGCAGTTGGTGCCTTGGTAACCACAGTAGTTGCCTGTACGATAATCTGTGTAATGGTAATCATTGAGGATGCTAAATGTGCTGTATCGGAGGTGAACAATTTAAAAATATTTTTTTTATTTTTTGGTATGGATTTGAGCCACAGTGCTCAGCCCCCTAGCCCATCGTAGCCGCAGCGTTCGGCCCAGAAATTTTCTTAACCTAACCAAACCCAAAGTAAAGTGAGGAACATTACTGCCTTTTTCAACATACAAATTTGGACGTTTTGCAATTTGGGCCGTTTTGTAATTGGGTGTATTTTAACATCATTGGGCATTTTGTTGCCTCAGGTTTTTTATAGCCTTGGAGTTTTTGTTGCATTGGGCCTTGGGTGTTTTGAAATTAGGGCAGGGGTCCATATAATTCCCAAAATAGTTGATTTTCTCGATCCGAATATAATTTTTTGCCCCCAACTTAAAAAAATGCCCCCAATTGTAAAAAAAATGCCCTCAATTAAAAAAACATTTGCAATTCCTTGCCCCAATTGCCCCAAATTGGGAAAAAAATTGCATCAAATAAAAAAACATTTTCAAATTCCACTAACACATTTGCCCCGGCCCCCAATTAAAAAAAAATGCCCCCAATTAAAAAAAAATGTCCCCAATTAAAAAAATATTTTAAATTCCTCTAACACATTTGCCCCCAATTTAAAAAACATTTTAAAATTCCACTAACACATTTGCTCCCATTTGCCCCCAATTACTCCGCACATGTACTTTCCGACTCGACCCTGAGCCCGTTTTCTCCATAGAAAGTGGTCGTGTAGTTCACGTACTTTGGGGGACGATATGTTGGCCGCTAGATGTTTTATGCTAAATTCCTATCTGATAGATAGATATTTCTCCGTACATTTTACGACCAATATAGGAGACGTTAAGTTGTCGTCGTCGACCGATGTAGTTTATGGAAGGAACGGGCTCTGGACCCCGGACAATATCACAATATAACATTCAAAACAGAGATTTTCAACTACGCATGAATCACTATTATGAATAGGTATTTGTAAAGAGAAAATATGACAATTTGAAAGTTTTTTAGAGCAATGTCCGCTAAACATACATTATTAAATCCCGCTTCCTGATTTCTGTCCGCTTTCACGGGGCCGGGCCGGGTCTCTACTGCGTAATTCGCCAACGTGATTTTCCACAGAGTTCCGTGAACTTCTCAGTTCTCTCTACAGCTGATTCATGACAGCTCGGTCCGCCCAACCCAGGCACCAGAGGGTTAAAACAGTTAAGCAAAATACTAATGCGTATATTATATTCTTATAAATCATATTTTACATTTTTTTTAAATATTCACCGGTCATTTTGGTTTTTACTGTCACAGCCATTTGAAATCAAAATTTAAATTAGATTTTTCGCACCAACATTATTTAAAGACAAAATTTTAACTCATATTATTTCGATATTGTTGTTAATGAATTTATGTACTCTGACAAAAACCAGTGGTTTTCAAAATGCAGTTATTGCGTCGCAAATTATTATTTTCTTAAACTGTATTACTGTTGTCATGCAGCAGATCCATGCATTTGTGAAAGAGAGAGAGAGAGGGAGGGGGGTGATGAACAGGATTTTTTTTTAAAAATACTTTTACTTAGATGAATATTCAAAAATAAAGTCTAAAAGTTTTAAATTCAAAAATTTTAATCTACAAAATGTTCTATTTCCTCCCCCCCCCTAGGCCGGCACTGTGCTTTGGACTCCAAATAGAGAAAAATTACCAGAATAACACATACACCAACATAGGTCACACAGTGAACAGAACCAACAGTATTTAGGTGCAGAAAGTGAAATTGAAAGGCAATCGTTGAAATATAAACTTACAGTAGAAATAACTCAAAAGATTGTGTTATTGCAGTCATCTATCACCAGAAAACAGGTTTAAAATTAATGCATTTAAAAATCCTTAACCTTCAAGAATATCATGTACACACTACACAGATTGATTATAAAGAAACTGCTTTTCTAATCTAATTCCTATCCAGGGGTGGGGTCCAAAAATAGTATACTAGGACGGACCCAAAAAAAACCTAGTGCAAAACAGAAAAAAAAACAGAGCCGCGCATACAGAGGGGGAGGGGGAGGGCTATTGGGCTCTGAGCTCAGCCCCCATCTGGATCAGTGAAATCTTTGGAAGTTCCAGGTTTTTCAAGGCTCCGAGGGTGTGAATGGTATAAGACAAAACCAAATTTTCGGGAATATGTTGCGAAAGAATAAAAAAGAACGCTTTAAAATACTCCCCCCCCCACACACACATTCATATTATCACAAATAAATTAGTTTTCAAAACCAAAACTTTCTAAGTGTTTGTGTTGATTGAAAATTCTTAAGAAAGTAAAACATCATCTGGAAGCCCTAGAAAGATATAACGTAGTCAAAAGAACAAATTGTAACGTACGTTTTTTAACCCCCCTCCCCCACCCCTCCACACACAGGGGGGGCACTAACGATTTACTTTGATCTATTGGTAAAAATAAAATGCTATTACTATTTTTTTAATTGTTTTAACCTATCTTACTACTGTAAAAGGATAAGTACTCTATTATGTGTGAATTTCTTATTGGCCTTCGCATCAAACAAACATACCTATAAAACATACATGTATGTACAGTGGTTAGCTAGGAGGTGTATGTACAGTGGTTAGCTAGGAGGACGTCACCAAACTATTCCGAACACTCGTCTTATGAAATCCCATCCTTGGTGGTTAACCCTGTATGTATTGTACAGGGTGTCCCAGGACTTGAATGTCGTCTTCGATTTCCGATAATTGAAAAATTGAATGAAGTGCATCAGAAAAGATTAAACGTTTAATGAGCTTTCTAAAATGTGGTCTACCTTCTTTGTGCCTTTTAAATTATAAAAAAGATATTAAACATTTTAACAATTTTGTCAATTTTTAAATAACTGAAATCTGAACCCTAATATTTCCATCAAAAGTGAAGGTGTAAAAATGATAAGACCACATTTTGGAAGTCCCGTGACTAGTACTTTTCGGTGTTAAATGTTTTAACTGTGATACTACAAAATCATATTTACGAAATAATCCCGCTTGGAACAGAGACGATGTAGAAGTCGTCATTCAATTCCCATGTTTATTGGGACACCCTGTATATAGTGATAGTTTAATGGTTCAAATAACTTCCTTTCCGCTAAAAATATGTAAATCCCCNTTATTTTCGGAATATACTTGTTTTTCTATGTGATAAATAATACATTTGTAATTTTTCCATCCTGTTTACTAGGTTTGTTTTAACAACCATATGTCTTCAAATGAATAGGAATTTTTATAATAGAATAATATGATAATTTAAAAAAATGTTACTGACAATTGTCACAGATTTTTCTTATTTAGTCCGTATATTTTAACATTTTTAAAAACATTCTATACTGCGGAGTACAGAATTATAATGAACGAGCCTTTAGTTAATCTCCCCTCTTCTGAGTTCTGAAAATTTCCCCTATTAAAATCTTTCTGGTTGTAGAATTGTAACTTTTTTTTCTTGGTCTATCTACAAACCTGTTGTACATTAAAAAATAATACCTATACTAAATTTCGCACTTTTCCCGTTTTCATTGGCGGGTTTCCAAAATTTGTATAAAAAAGACATTTTCAAGGCATTTTTTTCCTGGATACCATCGATTTAACCATTTTGAACAAAATATATAAAGATTCGTTTCAGCACTTCATTAATATCTGGCCTCTATGAAAAAAATGCATAAAAAAAGATATTAACTCCTTTATCCGGTATTGGTTCAGGTGTCATGTTTCTTAGACTTAGTCATGCACTTGTAGGTCCTACTACGCATATAGTGCTTAGTTGCCATGCATACATTTCTTCAGCTGTCTGAAATAGCATTATTTGAATCACTTGTGCCAGATATTGCGCTTTAACAAATAAATCTATTCGATTTAAAAGATTGATACCATTATAAAACATAAGAATTTTAAAATAAAAAGGCCTCACTTATATATTTTTTTTAAATATTTGTTAAGATTTCAATTTATTCACTATTTTTACAAGTGTACGGTTTTTATTTTATAGTATTTTGAACTTTTTGATAAAATATAAATATATGATATATTATATATAGCCCTGTTCAATCCTAAAATTGTAAACTTAAGCCAAAAATAAAATGTTGTCTTTGTAATTTAGGTCAATGCTTTCACTCTTATCTTTGTGGGAGCAGCAAGAGTATAATTTGCGAATTTCACTTTAAAAAAAGTTGCGAATTTTTTAGAATTCAAATAATTTATTTACAAATCAGATTATTTCAATTTCAGCTTTCTTATCTGAAACAATCACCTAATATTATACGTGAGAAATATCACGTTTAATGACAATTATTGTTTGATTAGCNATTAATTCTTACAGTAGAGCGCTTTTTAATAAAAAAATTGTTTTAAAGTTAATTTTTATTTGTTAAAGGATGCCGACATTTTGCGAGCAAATTTCCGAGGAAGATGACGAGGAATCCTCGTCCAGCTGCGGAGGCAGGGTTTTAAGTAAATATTTTATTAATATTATTTATTTTTGCTACAAAATCGAATATTCTAATAATGCATTTTACATATTTTGATCCCAATAATTTTTTTACCGTTTATATAATCAAAGGTACTGTTATTGTCCATCGGTATCCTTTAAACCCATGATATCCTAGGTTTTTTATCTTAAAATTGATAATTTGCAAGCGTTGCTTCTATTTAAAAATGACATTCGGATTCATGCACCTTAGAAAAAGGATAGAAATTAACCGAATTGATCACTTTTCATTCAACAAACAACGTAATATTTCTCATCATTTATTAGTCTTAGATTGATTAATAACGATATTTCCCTAAGAAATTATATTTTTTGTAAAATATTTGTTTTAACATTTTTTAATTCAATGTTTCTTTAATCTTAGGGAAAGGATCAACTGATGATGAAACATGTGAAACTGATCACGCAAAAGATCGCTCATCTAGTCCTCTGAGTGATCCAGACGATCGCAAGATCAAAAACGGTCCGAAACCCTCGAATAATCCTGATGTGAACTTCAACAGCCCTGATGTAAAATCTAAGAATGGTTCCAAGAATGCTCCTGATGTTGTTAATGATTATGAAAAGGAAGAGGAGGATAAAATTATGGATCTCTCCCCACCATTTCCAATGTCAAGGTAAGGGATTAAACATTGTGTGTCTATAAAAAGGTTTTAATTTTCTTGCTAAAAAAGTATGAAATATCCATCATGTTCTCTTTGAAATTTGATTATTTTCTTTTTTGGTTTATCAGTACAGTGAATTGCGCATTTCTGCTTCAGAGACAATAGCGGAAATTCTCAGAATTCAAGCTTGAGAATATCGACGATATTTTCCAAATTATTTCTGAGATAAATGTTTAATCTTTGATAATTTTTAGAAGTTTTTCTCGGATTCGGACTGAGAGTGAATGCAGCAGTTCTTCAGATTTAGATGTTCAGCCCCTTGGTTTAGAGGATATAATTTTCAATAGTGGATATCAGAGGTAATAAAATCATTGTTGTTTAGTCATTTCCTATTTCATTAAATCCCCCCCCNCTGCTCTCCAGAATATTAGGAATGTAAAGCGTTTTTTGGTTTTTCCTCTAAATGTGTCTTCTGGAAGAAAAAAATTATTAAAATTATTTTTTTTATTCTGTTATCTCCCTAGATCCTGGAAATTCTAAATCAAACTATAAACCACTGAAAACATATCCAATTTGTTGTAAATTTTCTGTTAACATGTAACTTTGTAATTTTTCATATTTATGTTTTTTAAAGGTATTTTTATTTTATTTTACTTTAATGTGAAATTCTTAAAATCTGAAAATTTTTATCTTATTCAGTTGTAAAGCAGGGAATGGGAAACTTTTTATAAGGTAGAAACATGACGAGTGAAAAGGAACTTTTGTGTGTGTTTATGAGTTTTAAGCCCCTTGATGTCTTATTTTTTTGGATTTAATAGTAATTTATAATATTTTTAAATTGGAAATGAAATGTAAAGAATTTTTTAAGATAGACTCTCAAACAACCAGCAAATAGAGAATATAAATTATGTTTTTTAATTAAAAATGTCCCCAAGGATGTTCTTGTAACTGTGAAAATGTTCCCGTGACATTTCAATTATAATAGTTTCAAATAGTAGAATTTTTCAATTACAAATAAGTTGTTATGATAAATTTTTACATTTGAATGTTGGTGCCGTAGACTTTTAGATTTTTTTGACAAGCTCGCTTACTTTCTTTTTTCTTTTAAGACAAAGATATTTCTGTTTTAAGCTACGTGTTTCACTTTTTATTTTTTCTGTGGTCCCTTTTTCTAGTTTTTAATCCTTTTCTATTCTTGTTAACCTCTTCTTAATACTTTCTTTACCTTAAACCCTTTTAACGTGTTTTCTTTTTCTTTTGATAATCTTTTTCTGTTACTATATTGTACGTACCTTGATTTTTATTTGGTGTTGGGTTTTCTTTTATAGTTTTGAAACTTGTTGATCTTCGATTGTTATGTACGTATAGATCTTCAGAGAATGTTGAAAGTATTATTCGACTTTTATCACAAACTACAAATTAAAATATTGTTTTTTTTTTGTGTAAAACTATGGAATCTTTTTATATCTGGCACATCCCATCCATTGATTTGAGTTTTTCAGCCGAAAATAATAAGTTCTTTCGGGAGTAATTTTTCACACTTATTTTGCAGTACAAGTTTACAACCCGGGAGAAAATTTTATTTTACCTTTTATTAGTAAATTAGAAATTGCAATGTCCTGCAAGATTTTGACTTTCATGTCTCGGTACTTATTGTTCGAGTGTTTTCTGGTCAAATTGGTGACGGGACCTTATCCTTAATTGACGTATTGTAGAAATTTAATCTAAAATTGGTTTTAAGCAGTAGCGGGGAAGGAGAAGACGACTTTCATTATTCTCCTACGGAGCGAGGACGCTTCTTCACAACTGCAGCTAAGGATAGGCTGAAGAAAAAGTCGGAAAGGTAATCCATGTCGTCTTTAAATTTTATGTTAAATACATATTGAATTGATTATTTAACATTTTTTTTTGATGAAATCATTCTTTATTTGCTACACCAGATTTAGGAAAAAAAAGGTAGCCGACCACATTTTATAAATTATGGGGTTGCTTATACTGACATTTGTTGATAGATTTTAAAACTATATTTCGTTGTAGCCGGGGTCAGAGAAACTGGCGGCGTGCACTGCGCCTGATCAAGGATCGTGGCGATCCTTGGGAGAAGTTTGGATTGGACTCACTTCGATCTGAAAAGGGGATTAGACACAGGTATTTTTTTTATTCGATCATGGAATATATCTTGTTTTTTTTGTGGATTAGAGAATTTAAAGTTTGAAATTGGGGTTAATTTAATAAATTTCTTAATATAATATCTCTTTATAAAGATCAGTTTTTATTATTATTAACGGATCCCNCTGGACTGGACTGGACTGGACTGGACTGGACTGGACTGGACTGGACTGGACTGGACTGGACTGGACTGGACTGGACTGGACCGGACCGGACGGGACGGGACTATTGAAAATACTGGACCTGACCTGACCGGACCGGACGGGACTATATTGACAATTGGTTTGTACTGTACTGAAATGTGTTGTGTCAGGTACAATCCAGTGACCCAGGAGTGGTTAAAAGATGAGTGCGTGCTCAAGATTGATAAAATACCATTCGCTCACGGAGCAATGCGAGAGTGCTTTAGGTAGGATTATCAAATGGAATTTAAAAACGATGAAAACCGAAAAGGAATATTTTTTATAACAAAAGATTGTTTAAACAGAAAATCTAAGTTAAATCTAAATAACCTTAAAAAAAACATATTTGTAACAAGAAAGAATCATTTTTAATGAAAATAAACTTTATTAAAAATTAGATATTAAAACCTTTATTAATCAGGATGAAGAAACTTTCAAACTTTTCCCACAGCAACGATTGGTTGAGGTATTTTTATTTACTTTATCTAAAAATATTTACAGCTGTAATCTCTGTTTGTTTTTTCGTTTGATTGAAATTGGATTAAAATTAAATTTTGAATAAATGTTTTGCATAATTTTGAGTTTTAGATTTTTATATTCTCAAAGAGTACACCATTGTACAAATGTTTACTTTTCAGGGATTCTAACAATTATGTAGCTAAGCGGTACATGTACGATGATGTACGGGAAAACTACTTTCAGGTACATAACTTTTTTATAATAAAGAAAAATAAAAATCTATTTTTTTCTTCTCCCTTAGTGCATTTTTCCCTTTAAATGTTAAATTCTTATTAACTCCAGGATGTTCAACTACAAATGGATGCTAAACTTTGGGGGGAAGAATTCAATCGACATAATCCGCCGAAAAAGGTAAAATCAATCAATCAATCAATATATACTAATAAACACATTACACATTATTATATTAAAATATCGGTTTAAGATTCAATCAATCAATATGTACTAGTAAACACATTACAAATTATTTAATTAAAATATCGGGTTAAGATTCAATCAATCAATATGTACTAACAATAAACACATTACACATTATTTAATTAAAATATCGGTTTAAGATTCAATCAATCAATATGTACTAGCAAACACATTACACATTATTTAATTGAAATATTGGTTTAAGATTCAATCAATCAATATATACTAGTCAACACGTTACAAATTATTTAATTAAAATATCGGGTTAAGATTCAATCAATCAATATGTACTAATAAACACATTACACATTATTTAATTAAAACATTGGTTTTAACATTTTTGTATTACAAAGTAATATATAAAGCATTTTTTGTTCAACATTTAGGTTTAGAAATCGTTGTGCATTTCTTTGCGCAACTATGATCTGTATGACTATGAAATGGATGCCGTAAAATTAAACCATGGTTTCGTTGAGAACATATTTATAGCCCCAGATTAGAATATTTAAAGAAGGATTTCTAGATTAATGTCGCAGATTGCAGAAACCTTTCAAGTGAAATTTCAAAATAAATATCGTTTTAAAAACATGTTTTGATGGTTATGTAAAATGTTAAATTTTAAGTCCTCGAATCCTTATATCTTTGCAATCTGATTGGGTTATATTGGGTTATATTGTGAATACTGTACGCACTTTCTATGATACTGTAATCGAAATTGCATGTTATGTACAGAAAATAGTAGCTACCAATACTTTACCATTTATGTTGAAGTATAAAAATTTCTATTTTTTAAACTGCATTGTACAGTACCGTACTATACTGTACTGTACTTTACTGTACTGTACCATATTGTACTGTACTGTACTGTTTAGGTTGATATATTTATGATGGCGGTCATTGAGCTCCCGGACCGACCCGGGAGACCTCTTTTCCATGTCGAACATTACATAGGTATGCTTTTCAAATTCTACGTTGTACACTTGTTTTTATGAACTAGCTGAAGGCTCCGGTGTTGCGAGTGGAAAAATAAAAAGGAAAAAAAATTTGAAAAAATGGGAAAGAAAAAAAAACACGGGGCCACCCATGAGTGTCCACATTTCAGCTCAATCAGTCCAGCCGTTTGGCCGGCTATACGCAACATATATATATCCGAATTTCTTTTTCTATTATATAGATTACCTTAAACAATTGACTTTATAATTAACTCCGAAAGTATTCTCTTTTTCAGAAAATATATTTTTACAGAGAAAAGATCAAATTAAAGTAACATCCATAAAACTTTGGAAAAGGAAGACGATATTTAATCAATCTTGTTTGTATTTTCTCATTAAAAGTGACTAAGACTAAGAATTCTGTTAGATATCTTCGGTTGAAGTCTTTCTCAGTTTCATTATTCACTTTACAAATTTTCTAATTTTTCTGAAATTATGGAAATTCCGAAAAATACTAAGACGTGATTAGTAGCTGTACAATTGTAGAGGGAGAGTACGTGAAGTACAACTCGAACAGCGGTTTCGTGGATGCGGTCGGGGGGAACTGTAGACAAACACCTCAGGTAAAGATTAGATCATATCAAAGGTTTTAAAGGATTCTCGACGTTTTTTAAAATGACCTCTGATTTGCAGAGCCACATTCCCAAAGGTATCCTTTAAACCTTTGTTTGAACAATTAATATAAAGAGGGTTCTGATGGTCTCAGGATCTATGCAAATGAGACGAAGGAAGAAATGTTCGCATTTATCTCTTTTTAAGAAATCCTTTGACGCCATCTTTCCCATCGTTACTCGAGTCATCAGATAAAGGTCCCTTGAATTAAATTAAAACTACTGTCCTTACTAATATATAAATCAGTATTTTGGCTCCTGGATCCGGGTCCGCCAAAATATCAACCAAAACCAAAAATGTTGGTCTCAAAACACAAATTAAAATTGTTAATTAATGAGAGATTAATAACAGCTTCCTAATCTCTAAAAGGTTCACTGAGAGATTAATAACAGCTTCCTAATCTCTAAAAGGTTCACTGAGTTTTAGCATAAAAATTAGGATAAAGAAAAAATTGTTGAAAATTTTTCATTTGACTAAGAAATTAGTAAATGCACAGGACCTGGATCCGAATCCATTTTTATACCAAGGCGTACCCAGGATCCGGATCCACATCAAAAGGAAATGGATCCTAAGCACTTTCACCAATTAACAAGAAGGCCTATTTTACGCGTTAGTAATAACATTTTTATTTCAGGCCTTCAGTCATTTTACCTTTGAGAGATCTGGCCATCAGCTGATGGTTGTTGATGTACAGGTAATGTTGTTGATCGTGTTGGCTGATGGTTGTTGATGTAGAGGTAATGTTGTTGATCGTGTTGGCTGATGGTTGTTGATGTACGGGTAATGTTGTTGATCGTGTTGGCTGATGGCTGTTGATGTACAGGTGATGTTGTTGATCGTGTTGGCTGATGTTGTTGATGTACAGGTAATGTTGTTGATCGTGTTGGCTGATGTTGTTGATGTGCAGCTAATGTTGTTGATCGTGTTGGATTGTTTCCAGAAAAAATGTAAAAACTTCAAAGATTTCAAAACTTGATTCATATTGTTAACCTTAAATAGCAAAATCTTCAACCTAAAAAATTAAAGAGTTCAAAACGATCCGAAAACGATCGTTACGACACCTTCGTTTTGGCATCGTTTTGGTTCGGTTTGGATCGTTGTTTGCACATTACTTCTGTCAGGGTCAAAATTTGGCGTACTGGAAGAAAGATAAATATTTCAAATAAACTATTTAAAATACAGTTCTCCTGTTCATAAACTATGTAAACTTTGCGACCCTGAAAGAAATATTATCAAAAACGAACCACCTGATTTTACCTAAAGAAACATCAGTACAATGTTATAATGCAAGGAAAGTTTATTGCAGTTGCGTATACTCTGCGTATATATTGAAACCAGTTCTCTCTGGGCGGAATTTGTAAACAAGAATAGTTGCATGCAGTGTTCGTTTAGTATCCGAGAGGTTAAAAGCATTAGATTTTAATAATTTACAATATTTTCCTATGACCAGAATATTTCATTAATTTTGTATATGAAAGATGGATCCCATGTCAGGATTCGACATCCGTCTTCTGTTCACATTACCGCCCAAGGACAGTACACTGCATGCAATACAAAAGATGCGTATACTTCTGAAGAAACTTTCCTTTAACCTTGCATCAGTATGTATAGACCATAGATTAATTAAAATAACAGATAGGACGGAAACTAGATGTCGTCTTTTAAAGATTTATGTGTGTTTCGTTCACGCGTTGTCTGCGTAGAACAGGCTCTCTCTCTGTAGAATAAAAAATTAGTAAAAATTTTGAGTTTAGAAACAAAACAAGGGCTATATTACAACTCAAAGATGTTTCTGATGATCAGAATTATCATAACTTTAAGAAACATTTTCATCGGGTTTTTGCCCAAAGAAAGATTTTTTTGAAAGAACGAGGCCTGAGCCAGAAAGCTTAAGGGGAGTGTTCGCGAAAAATGAAAGGGGGTATGAGCTTAATGCGATAAAAAAGCGCTTTTGAATGCTACTAATCTTACTTCTATCTGTTGCGTCTATAAGGAGAAAATTGTTAAAGACGTCTCATACCAAATAACATGGCGTCCATACAAATTGAGAAAATTGCAACATACGACTTAGACCGTAAAAAATCAATTTAATCTCAAACAAATCATTCAGATATTACAACCTAAAGTCGTCGATTATCTTTCGCCACATTTGTATATAGTTGATTTTTCATAATATGTTTTAATTATTATGATCTGAGAGTTACTTATAAAAACATTTATTCCTGTTTCGAGGATTTTTGGTAATGAAGACGACATTTTCATATTTTCCAGGAATGTTCGAAAACAAGTTGTAGACTAAATATTATTTTAAAAAACAAAATCAAAACTAGTATGAAATATCAAATATATACAAATAAGGCGAAAGATAATCGATGACTATAGGTTGTAATATCTGAATGATTTGTTTGATATTAATTTGATCTTTTTACGGTCTAAGTCGTATGTTCCAACTTCCTCAATTTGTATGGGCGCTACGCTCTTCGGTATGAGACGTCATTATCAATTTTCTCCTTATAGACGCAACAGATAGAGGTAAGATTAGTAGCGATCAAAAGCGCCTTTTTATCGCATTAAGCATTTACCCCTTTTATTTTTCGCGAACACTCCCATTAAGTGTGTGAATAATTAAATCTATTGAAACATTTTTAGTATTATGTGTCTGTTGATAACGGTCAACCATTTTTTATGGAATAGTAATTTGTAAAATGTGATTGCTTAAAAACACCGTTTTCGTAAAAAACATGGAAATATATTTTTCTTTCATAACTTCACTAAATCTAATCTACATTTATATAAATGTTTTTTATATTCATACCAATCAAAAATGACTTGATGAAAGTTCATTTAAACTTGTTGTTACATTGATATTGGTTATTATTGTTTAATTAAAATCTTTTGAAATGAATAATACTGGTGCAGGGTGTAGGTGATCTGTATACTGATCCACAGATCCATACTGCACAAGGAGATCAGTACGGAGATGGTAATCTAGGAACCAGAGGGATGGCGCTCTTCTTTCATTCTCACAAGGTAAAATATAGACCCCCCCCCATTCCAACCCTCCTTCATTATTTATTCTCTGATGTGACTGCCGATTTTAAAAAATTTTTAAATTTTTGTCTTTATAAAACTAGTTCAGAAATGATCTAAATATAGAATTTCTCTAAAAAAAAAAAGAGTCCGCGAGACATATTGGAAATATTGTCGGAGGTTAACTCTTATTCTCAGATAGTTAAAGAGACTTGCGAATTTTAAGTGACTCGCCATGCAAAGAGGGCCATGTCCGATTTACTATAGTACCCTTGAAACATTTGACTGATCATCGAGTAAAGAGTGCTCTTTCTGAAAATATCTTTGAAACCACTTGAATCCTTGTAAAATGTGGTGTACTCTGAGTACACACTGAACTTGAATCCTTGTCAAATGTGGTGTACTTTGAGAACACATTGTACTTCCTTGTAAAATGCGGTGTACTCTTGAGTACACTCTGAACTTGAATCCTTGTAAAATGTGGTGTACTCTGAGTACACTCTGAACTTGAATCCTTGTAAAATGTGGTGCACTCTGAGTACACATTGAAATCAACAGTCAACGCAGCTAATTTATTGTGTAACTTGACGTTACCGATTTTTTTACTTAAAAATTTGTTTCCAAAAAAATTCAAAGAAAAAAGTAATTTTAGCCAATTCTAGAGAGTGAATATTGATATCTTGCAAACAAAGCGTTTTTGTCGATTTTTGAGAATTAGTCCGACACCCTTGAAGGTATTTAAGGGTACCGTTGTGAACCAGGCATTGGCATATTTGCATGGAGAATCACTTGAAATTACGCTTACAATCCTTATAAGACGACGATATCTTCCTTTTGATAAATAAGTTGAACAATTTGTTCAAAATTAAAATGGTTGTTCATGTTCTCGAAGCTCAAGTATTCGAATTGAATTTAATTTGAAAGTTTTTAGTGCAACAGTATCTGTGAGAGCCTTGGATTAACACAGTTTGATATTTCAAGCAAAGAGATAATTAATATCTCAGCTGGTATCCCTGATAGTGTATCCAGGTATATATATTTCAAGTAAAGAGATAATTAATATCTCAGCTGGTATCCTTGATAGTGTATTTTAAAAGAGTTTTTTTAATTATTCTTAGAGTTTAACCATTTTCTTATTTTACCAAATTTTGTAGTGAGACCCATGTTCGTCTGGAGGATGTAATGATTTGTGAGTCTCCTTCGAACTTTGAGAAAACTGATTTCAGAAAGTAAGTTTTTTTTCTTTCATTAATATCAGATAAAGTAACTTCAGTGCCAACTAAAAGCATAATGAATACTGCCTGAAGTAAATCTTTTAGCAAAGCAACAAAATTCAAAGTATTGTTTGATAAACAAATTTATTTAATTTGATCATAGATTTTTCCGTGAGAGATCTGGATCTTGTGGGTTCATCGATCATGATCGGCAGAGTCTTGGCAGGTCAATGAAACTAACCTAGTTCTTATTCATTCAAGCAGTCAATTATTTAGTCAAAATTGTTAAATGTTTATAAAGCACGTTGAGATCGGAAATTTTTTAATGAGATAACTTTATTTTAAAGATTATAGTGTTTAATCAAAAAATTAAAGCTCACTCGCATTTTGTTTTTACATTGGCCTCTGTTCAGCCGTACATTTGAAAACTAACTGATTAACTGATTCCGTAAAGAATAATTCTGTTTGAAATATAAAAGTTTAAACCTCCCGAAATTCAAAATCTTGGTTATTTTCTTTAATTGATTTTTAATTCTAAATTTAAAGAAAGATTGGAATCGAACAATACCTTTATTTAGATCCATTTCTTTACTCTCAGACTTCAGCCATAATTCATCAAGGAACCATTCAGAGGTTAGTCACTGTCAGTGCAAACATTCTATTTCTATTCTTACAGAACGTGGACAATTCAAGTTTGTATTTTTTTATTATCGTTTTAGCTGATGAATGCAACAATGTAATTTTTTAATGAAATGTTAGAAATAAAATTTTGTTGCATATTTTATTTTTATTTTTATTGCACATGGTTAATCTTTAAAACTGTTTAGTCGACAACAAAGCTATTACTCAAGAAAAAAAAAAAAAAAAAAAAAAAAAANTGGCATGTTTGATGTAGGGGGGGAAGGGCCTGCCTTCATTTTTGGTTTAATCTTCCAATTTTTTGGGTGCACGTCTTATTAGGGTTCGAAATTGCTAAAATAAAATAAAATTGAACTTTAATGACCTCTGATGACCTCTAATGACCTCCACAAATAGAAAATATTTCAACTATGGCCTAATGCATATCAAACGAAAGCTACTAACCCCAGGAATACAGTTGCAGCAACGAATCCAGTGTTTGACGTTCTGCTGACCTCTAATGACCTAAATGACCTCCAAAAATGAAAATGTTTTAACTATGGCTTTATGCACATCAAACGAAAGCTTGGAACCCAGGGAATACAGTAGTAGCAACAAATACAGTGTTTAACATTCTAATGACCTCTTACGACCTCGAATGACCTAAATGTAAAAAGCATTAATTCTCAAATTATCAAATGTTGTTGTCAAGAATTATTGACAACACTGTTTTTTCCAACAAGCACATCATGAAATCATTTATTTAGTCTGATTTTATTACCTTTAACGAATATTTTAGTGCGAGGGTAACTCTGTTCACTTCAATATGGAGACTGAAGAAGATGAGGTAATTATCTTGTAAATATGGAGACTGAAGAAGATGAAACAATTTTTTTTTAAAATCGTTTTTAAGAAAAGTTGTTTTTCAATACTTAGAGAAAAGAACTAGAGAATACAAATAACTTTTCCTTAAAAATTGCTAATTTTCTTATTACAAGTTTGCCAATTTTCTGTGATTCAATCTTAATAAGATTCTAGATTTCGATAAAAATAATTTATATACACATAAACTTTTGATTTTGAGAGAAAAAAAGGTTGAGGATTTTTTATTGGGCCATTAGAGTACCAAACAAAAATTAAAAATTTTCAAAAAATTATAAAAAAACACCATACAGAAGAGTTGCACAAAAAAGGTACACTATTGCACCAGGCGCCGCTAATCTCCCTTTTTTGACTCACCCTGTACATTATTTTTTTTGATAAAAATATAATACAACCATTTGTTAAACAAACATATTTGCTCTAAAATCTTTTTAAAACAATCGTTTCTTGGAAACATATATAAGTTTAATAAAATTTAACTGAAATTTTATTGTAGGAGTATGAGGATAACGCGGAGAGTGACATCAGTGAAGTCAAGGTATAATAATACATTTCACTCATTTTTCATCACTTTTAATCTATTATCCTATCTCTTCTAAAATTCCTAAGACAACATGTACACTTTCTTCTATACAGAGCTTTGTTGAATGCTCTTCCAATCAGTGCTTAGGATCCATTTAATTTTGCTGCGGATCCGGATCCAGATCCTGGATCCGCACTGAAAAAAATGGATCCGGATCCAGGTCATTTCTTTAAGATTTACTGAATTTTTTTAACAAAAAATAATTTTCAAATTTTTTGTTTTATTTTTTTTCGCTTTTTTCATCCTAAATCTTGATGAACTATTCAGAAATGAGGAAATTTTTACAATCTCTTTTTTTCAAAAGTTCAGAGTTGGGTTTTAGGAGTAAAAAAGTTTTTTTTTGTAGTTTTTGGTTGATATTTTACCCCTTGGATCCTGATCTAGAAAGCCAAAATCTTGCGGATCCAACGGATCCGGATCCAGATCCTAAGCACTGCTTCCAATCCTCACCCCTTTTATGTGATATACAGATATCACCACTCATTTTCTTATTTTCTTATTTTCTCCTAGCCTATCTTTCCTTTGCTTTTTTTCCGTCATGATTTTATAATTTTTCAAATTTGTTTTTGTTTAGGGCCTATCATTTATAACAACCCTTATCGACCAGATAGGTCCTGATTAATGAATTGTTTTGAAGTTTCCAATAGTTTTTTTTTAATTTGTTATCATTCACCGAAATATATATCTATATCTATCTATCAATAAAGAATTTGAATGTTACTTTAGGAGCGTCAAGTGAACTTTCACCATTTCCCGCGTTTGCCACGTGTTCAACAGCTGGGGGATACAGAAACATCCACCGGTAAATTTTAATTCAAAATGGTTGTCATTTTAGTTCTTGATAATGAAATAATAGTTCTGTATTAAAAAGAGGTGTTTAAATATTTTGCAGATAGTGGGGTTGTTTTGCCCAGACGCAGGCAAAGAATGATCACCGAATGTTTAGAGGTAATATTAAGCTTTTGATTGAATATTTTTTTTTTCCTTTTTTATTCACAACATAGATTAACGATTTGATTTATTGATTTTTAAAAATTTTCTAATGCTTAAATATGTTTGGATAAATTAGTAGCAAAACTGCATACTTGTTCAATTTTTTTAATAATTAGAGTGGCTCTGCAGCTCTTCGATATTAAATTTTAAGATTTTAATGTAAATTATTTTTCTTGATTTTTTTATTTTAAAGGAGTGGGATGGAGCCCACGGAGATAGACTTAGAGCCAATTTTGATCAACAATCTAGGCCCAGCTGTGTTAGGTAGAAATATTTAACATGTTATTTGCCACGTATAACGAATTTTTGTTAATTAATGTTAAATGTTAAATTAAACTAAATCAAAATATTGACTGTTAAATTAAAGTAGAAAATGTTTGCACTGTTTGTCATGATAACCAATAACCATTGTTCTGAAAAGAATTTCTCATTTTGTAGCGGGTTTAATGAGGCTTCAATATATTCAGGCTTATATTTGTTCCCATATTATAGTGCTGAAATGAACCAGGAGAAGATAGAAGGAGCTGAATCTATTCTTGGACAAATCCATCTGGATCTGGCCAAGTATCATGAGTCCGGCAGGTAGGAGATTTAAATTCTTAAATCCCCCCCACCCCCGTCAACCTCATTCGAAAATTTCTATTATCCCCCCCCCCACCATAAAACTATTACCTTGATTAATTTCTTATCCAGAAAAGGCTTAACCAAATTGTTATATGGTTATTTACAATATCAGTTTCAACCCCTGTATTTAGTCAAGGGAACTTTAAATGAAAAAATGTAAAAACAGAAAATAAAGAACACATAAAATTGCATTGATTTCACTAACAGATAGCACTTTAGTCTAAAATTATCACTATAATTTATAATTTTGTCAGACACATAACACTTAATTGACACTTATGACGTAGATACGTAGATACAGCTAAACTGAGAGTGTACACATTGCCACTTGATAATCTATTTGATATTTATGAATATTGAAGGTTTGATGAAGCGGAATTAGATGTACAGTCAGCAATCTTTCATCTTAAAGCATCTGCTGATTGCGGGAATATGGCAGGTATACATAATTCATTCCGTTTATTTAATTATCTTTCTCATTGTTCTAACTTTATCAGAGCTGAAAACTTTAGAATGAAATATCCCTAATCCCGATTACTGAATCTAAGTGTCCAATGGACACACTTTTGATTTTCTTCTTAAACCGTTCTTTTTTTAATATAGCGGAGAAAAATCAAAAACCGGTTTTTCTAAATTAGAGCGTCCCTCCCGTTTCTGTATATAATCTTAAATGGCGCGTTTTAAATTTAAATTTATCGGCTTCAAATACGCGACTATGATTGGTTGAATTTTATACACTTTTCAGGATACAAGTACAAAATTAGGTTAGTCTCGATATTTAGAAAGAGGGGATATCAAGCAATAACCTCGATATCCACCATTCTAAAGTGTTCAGCTCTGTAGTGATTCATATAAAGAAACATGCATTTTTCCTCTTCTAAAGTCTTCACTATGAAACTTTATTTAATTTAAGTATTTTATGCGTTATTTTGGATTCATTCGTCAATTATTTCATTATTCCTTCATTCAGTTACATTTATTTATATGTTATTGAAACCTGTATATTCAGCTGTTGTATTTATATCCCAGCTGGACTGTATCTAATATCTGTATATTCAGCTGTTATAGCTGTATCCCAGCTGTTTACTGGACTCCCTAATATCTGTATATTCAGACGTTATATTTGTATCCCAGCTGTATACTGGACTCCCTAATATATGTATATTCAATGGTTACAGCTGTATCCCAGTTGTATACTGGACTTTATGTAATATCTATATATTCAGCTGCTATAGCTGTATCCCAGCTGTATACTGGACTATATCTAATATCTGTATATTCAGCTGTTATAGCTGTATCCCAGTTGTATACTGGACTATATCTAATATCTATATATTAAGCTGTTATAGCTGTATACTGGACTATATCTAATATCTGTATATTCAGCTGTTATAGCTGTATCCCAGTTGTATACTGGACTATATCTAATATCTATATATTAAGCTGTTATAGCTGTATCTCAGTTGTATACTGGACTATATCTAATATCTGTATATTCAGCTGTTATAGCTGTATCCCAGCTGTATACTGGACTATATCTAATATCTTTATAATCAGCTGTTATAGCTGTATCCCAGCTGTATACTGTACTATATCTAATATCTGTATATTCAGCTGTTATAGCTGTATCCCAGCTGTATACTGGACTCCCTAATGATATTCTGTCGGGTCTGGACTCTGTGGATCTATCAGAATATGTTGAAGGAGAGGTTTGTATAAATTTTATTACCGTCTTTTGACCAACATTATTGACCTATGATTACTTTAACAGAGGGAGGTTAGGTTACTTAACGTCCCTTGGGACAGTTATGTAAAATAACCACCCGTTCTGTGAAGTTTTCGGGAGGAAATTCGCGCATTTTCATCCCAAAAGACGAAAAACTTTTTCGGGAAATCAAACATTCGACTTAACCACAGGTGCCCTCGAAAATTAGGTCTCGGGAACCCGTGGTAAAGTAAAATTCTCTTAACTTCCCTGTAAAGTAGTTGTAGATAATTATTATTTACTAGCTGAAGAGCTTTATTATAACATTATATAGATTATTTTTAAAAATTTGACTCGTTAGACTTGCCTTAATTAATAGACTCAATCGGCCACGGTGGTCGACATAGGTTTTTAGTAGGTTTAAATGCGATAATATCTTTCTAATTGCTCAGATTAAAGTTTAAAGGGTACCGTTCTGAATCGGACATTTCATGTAACTCTAACCGTTCACATAAAATTACGTTTACTGTCTACATTTTTTTTTGAGCAAGTATATATTGTTCAGATTCAAGATATTGGTTTGGATTATATGACCCAGGCTGCTAGGATGGGAGACCCTGGGTCAGCTTTATACCTGGCTAAAGCATATGATTCAGGGCTAAACCTAGGCTCCGATAGACAGGTAAACTTTTATTCTCTTTTTTACTGTGATAATTTTTGTGTATTTCCTTCTTTTTTTGGGGGGGAAGTTTTATGCTTTTATGATTTATTGACTGAAATCTTGTGAATTTGCAAGATTTTCAAAGAAAGGGGATGTACTGCACCGAGAAAGGGGATGTACTGCACCGAGAAAGGGGATGTACCGCATCGGGAAAGGGGATGTACTGCATCGGGAAATGGGGATGTACTGCATCGGGAAAGGGAATCTACTGCATCGAAAAAGGGGATGTACTGCATCGGGAAAGCATATAAAGTTTCTTTAAGTACTAATAATGGTATATTAAATTATCATTAAAAAAAAACAGTCCTGTTAGCATTATGGAAATTGTAAAACCCTTTAAATCTTCTCAAATCAAAAGAAAATTCAGGAATCGACCTTAATTATTTATTTTAGGCAAGTGCGGCGGAGGCAGTTAAATGGTTTAAAGTTGCACTGAATAATGGGGCGGAGCAACCTTATCTAATCCAGGCTAGATTGGCGGAGCTCCTCCTGAAAGGGGCGGAAGGAGTAGAGAGGTATAACATCTTAATATTAACTTAACTTTTGGGACATTTTGTAGTAGTTTAGTTTCTTCTTTAAAGGGAGTGTTCGCGAAAAATGAAAGGGGGTATAAGCTTAATGCGATAAAAAAGCGCTTTTGATCGCCACTAATCTTACTTCTATCTGTTGCGTCTGTAAGGAGAAAATTGTTAAAAACGACTTATACTGAAGAACGTAACGTCCATACAAATTGAGAAAGTTGCAACACATGACTCGGATCGTAAAAAAATCCATTTAATTTCAAACAAATCATTCAGATATTACAACCTACAGTCATCGATTATTTTTCGATGCATTTCTGTATAGTTAATATTTCATAATATTTTTTATTTGTTATGCACTTAAAACGCCGAAATAGTTGGCCGCCAGGTGTCTCTGCTCTCGATGGTTTGAATGATTTCACGTGGCAGAGACACCTAGCGGAAAAAAACGTCGTTTTAAATGCATTGCATATAAACAAATAACAAATATTATGAAACATTAACTATATTCGAATGCGTCGAAAAATAATCGATGTCGAAAGATTTTAATATTTCAATGATTTGTTTGATATTAAATTGATTTGTTTACGATCCGAGTTGAATGTTGCATCTTTCTGAATTTGTAAGGACACTACGTTCTTCGGTATTAGTCGTTTTTAACAATTTTCTCCTTATAGACGCAACAGATAGAAGTAAGATTAGTAGCGATCAAAAGCGCTTTTTTATCGCATTAAGCCTATACCCCCTTTCATTTTTCGCGAACACTCCCTTTAAACGAATCTTATCCTTAATTATCAACTGGTTTATATAATGCCATATAAAATCTGGTGAAAGTACCAAAATCAGAACAAAAATAGAACCATACTGTCTACCAGCTATAAGACCTTTCTCCAGACATGACTAAGTGCTATTCATTTCATGTATGGGGAGTTGAAGGAGGACACGCTGACAGTCTAATTTGACATGGTTTGCTGATATAAATGTTGTCAAGGATATGGGGTTCGCGATAAATTAGCAACGATATCCTTGAATATTGTTCTAAGCAAACTAATAATACCATACTGCAGCTTGAGCTTTCAATTGAAGCAGCCGAACTCAAAAGGAGCTGAATACGCTGAAAAACAATATTCAGGGATCCAGGAGCTGCAGCTGAACTAAATTCTGAGGCTGCTGAATCTAAATTAATAATTAAATGATATTCAGGGATCTAGGAGTAGCAGCTGACTGTGTTCTGAAGCTGCTAAATCTAAATGAACTATTCGCAAGTTTCATACTGCAGCTTGAAGTTTTTAATTTAAGCAGCTGAACTCAAAAGCAGCTGAAAACGCTGAATCTAAATCAAAAACAATATTCAGGGATCCAGGATCTGCAGCTGAACTAAATTCTAAAGCTGCTAAATCTAAAAGAACTATTAACCAATATTCAGGGACCCTGGAGCAGCAGCTGAACTGTATTCTAAAGCTGCTATGTCTAAATGAACTATAAATATTCAGGGACCCGGGAGCAGCAGCTGAAATGTATTCTGAAGCTGCTGAAGCTGCTATGGAGGATATGAAGGGAAAGCTTGCTAGCAAGTAAGTGCCAAAAGTCAAAACAGGGGAATTTATTTGTGAATATCTTAACAATAAAAAATTGGGGGGGGGGGATTTTCCGGGTGAAAACCTTACATTTTTACAAACTATGATTGTAAAAAGTATAATTCTACAAATTGATATATATTTCAGGTTTTATATTCTTGCTGAGGAAGCAGGGGCAGAAGTTGAAGAAGTAGAAGAGGCCAAAGAAGCAGAAGAATAAAAAGAGAATAATAATATAAGAATTGTTAAGGAAAAAGACGGGAGATAATAAAAAATCGATGTGTGCATTGGTGCGTGAGCTTTAAAAAAAGATGCAAAATCAAAATAAAACGATATAATTTCTTTGATGAACTTGTAAAATGGAAACTTGTGTACTACGCTTATTTACGCAAAAATAATTATTTTCTGCTTTCACCTGTTCCATTTTACAAGGGACAAACGCAATTTTTAAGTTCTCTAAATTTATACACTATTACCGGAATTTTAAGAACGAAATTTAACTTATTATCTTCGTAACCTTGTTAGAAGTAACCAAAATCAATATGGTAAATTATATGTATTTTGAATACTGTTAAATATTATACGAAAAATATTGATGATCAGTATTTTTCTGCCAAAAATTGATTTTTATCACTTGTGTCTTTGCTCATTCTTATTTTATATAACTTTTACATTTACAGGTGCTTTGCCTATTTACAAATAACAACAATTAAATATTTTGTTTTTGACCAAATTTTTGTACTTAAGATTTCTGAAATCGTGATTTTTCCCATTTATAATTATTGTACGATGTACAGTGTTAATTGTACATACAATGTACATTTGTACATCAGACTTTAAATTACTATTGTATGTGTTCTCATCTTTGATTGAAATAAAGTCCTAAGTATAAAAAGTATTTTTTTTTACCAGAAAGAAGGCATTAAAAATCGATGAGCCGAGATAAGCCGATAATTAGCTGATAATTAATCAAGATGATCAGTTTTTAACCAGAAAACCAAGATCAGCTGAATATTAATCGAGAAATTAGTGTGAGGTTTAAAGATCAGCAGATATATATATAGTGAAAAATTATTAAAATCAATGAAGTTGAAACAATGCCCCCCTCCCCAAGAAGAAGTCAATAAAATTTTCCTTAAACCCACCGCGAACGAGCGTGGGAAGGCAGGTGGCCATGAGCCACTACTATTTCCCCTTCCGTACCCCATATTAGCTTTTTTCTCTTCCTGCAGCCATGAGCCACCACTATTTCCCCTTCTGTACCACATATTAGCTTTTTCTCTTCCGGCAGCCATGAACCACCACTATTTCCCCTTCTGTATCACATATTAGCTTTTTTCTCTTCTGGTAGCCATGAGCCACCACTATTTCCCCTTCTGTATCACATATTAGCTTTTTCTCTTCCGGCAGCCATGAACCACCACTATTTCCCCTTCTGTATCACATATTAGCTTTTTCTCTTCCGGCAGCCATGAACCACCACTATTTCCCCTTCTGTATCACATATTAGCTTTTTCTCTTCTGGTAGCCATGAGCCACCACTATTTCCCCTTCTGTATGACATATTAGCTTTTTCTCTTCCGGCAGCCATGAACCACCACTATTTCCCCTTCTGTATCACATATTAGCTTTTTTCTCTTCCGGCAGCCATGAGCCACCACTATTTCCCCTTCTGTACCACCACATTTGACTCTTCCGGGCAAAACTACTTTTTTAAATGGTATATTAAGGGCCTTTACAGTGTTATTTTAAAAAATCCAGCCGCGTCACGCAAAAAAAGCACAACTCAAACCATTTTTTCAACTCTAGTTAAGATTAATATTTTGTGTGTTGAATTTTTAAACATTTACATTTAAATTTTTGACAAATTTGACTGAGTATTGCATCTTGAAATATCACAGTCTAATGATGATTCAATTACTGACTCATTATACTAAATCCATCTTAAAATCACTCATTAACCAATAATCATTAGACTTTGTGATATTTCAAGATGCATATATTATTTCAAGATTATTGAATCTGTCTGGATGTACTGTCCCATACATATATTATTTCAAGATTATTGAATCTGCCTGTATGTACTGTCCCATGCATATATTATTTCAAGATTGTTGAATTGAATCTGCCTGGATGTACTGTCCCATACATATATTATTTTAAGATTATTGAATCTGCCTGTATGTACTGTCCATATATTATTTCAAGATTATTGAATCTACCTGGATGTACTGTCCCATACATATATTATTTCAAGATTATTGAATCTGCCTGGATGTACTGTCCATATATTATTTTAAGATTATTGAATCTACCTGGATGTACTGTCCCATACATTTATTATTTTAAGATTATTGAATCTACCTGGATATACTGCCCATATATTATTCCAAGATTATTGAATCTACCTGGATGTACTGTCCCATACATATTTTATTTCAAGATTATTGAATCTACCTGGATGTACTGTCCCATACATATATTATTCCAAGATTATTGAATCTAACCTGGATGTACTGTCCCATGCATATATTATTCCAAGATTATTGAATCTGCCTGGATGTACTGTTCCATGTATATATTATTTCAAGATTATTGAATGTACCTGGATGTACTGTCCCATACATATATTATTTCAAGATTATTGAATCTGCCTGGATGTACTGTCCCATGCATATAAATTATTCCAAGATTATTGAATCTGCCTAGATGTACTGTCCCATGCATATATTTTTTCAAGTGCTTTTGTTTCGAGTTCAGTATACGGCCTGACTGCTGGACTGCTTGACTGTCTGACTGCTTTAATACTTGAATACTTGAATGCAGTACTGTTTACTTAAACCTTGTTTACTTTAGGTTCAGGTTTATTCAATAAAATTCTTCAAATATACAATATCTGTTTTCTCCATAGAAAGTGATTGTGTATTTCACGTACTTTGGGGGACGAAATGTTGGCCGCTAAATGTCTCATGCTAAATTCGTATCTGATAGATAGATAATTCTCCGTACATTTGACGACCAATATAGGGGACGTCAAGTTGTCGCCAAATGTAGTTTATGGAAGGAACGGGCTCTCTACAGAGATTTGGGTGCAACCAGGGTAAATTTTTTTATCTATTTTGTTTGAACGATCGTTAAATAAAATCGTTCTCAGAAAAAAACGTTTGTTCAAAAAAACTATCTTTTTTTCGAAAAAATCGTTAGTTTCAGAAAAAGTTATTGCTTTTTAAAAGTTTGTTCAAAAATCGTTCATTTAGAAACAATCGTTTTTTTCAAAAGTTTTTTTTAAATCGTTAGTACTTAGCTTTTAAAAAAATCGTTTTTAAAAATCGTGTTGGAAAAAATCGTTGGTTCAGTAAAAAATCATTCATGAACGATAAAGATTGTTCGAACGTTCTTGAGTCGTTTTGTCTTGTTTTTTGTCCGTTTTAAAAAAAAACTATCATATTTCATTTTTCTGAACAATTCATTTCGTTAGTCCACCGTTCGATTTTTTCTCAGACGACATTCAATCTTTTTGATGCACTTTATGTCATTTATCAATCAAGCAATCAGAGACGATATTCAAGTAGTCTCTCAATTCCCATGTTTATTGGGACATCCAGTACTTTATACTCATACTATAGAAATTTTACGAACCATGAATAATAGTCCTATTAGGGTTTACACAAAAATGCATCCACGTGTAGCTTAGTATTTCTCTCCAACCATTTCAATAATAATTTGAAAAGTATAAAAGTTTTTACTTTTGGTTGCGAACTGCAATATGTCCCATTATAATTAAACTAAATACAGGGTTACTTCGAATGCATTTCTAAGTACTCATGTAGAATATAATTTTGTTATTTGATTTTTTTGGGGGGGTTTAAAATTCTAAATTATTTTTTTAAGGCAAATTTACAAATACTAGGCTTTTAGGGCGCTTCGCGCCCATCTTCTATTTAAATTGTGAACATGTTCTTTTTGGTAATGTTACATCTTCTATACGCAACATCCCCCCTACTGAACTTCTGACCTACTAACTTTCCGACCTACTGCAATATCGGACCTACGCCATTTTACATTTTAAAACAAAGAAGAAAAATTTTTGCAGATTTAAAAAAAAAATTCGCAGATTTTCAAGAATTTAAATTTTTTTACGAATTAAAAACCTTTAAAACACATTTTGTAAAATGGTGTTTTCCTTGTCAATTGAATTACCCACAGACTGCTCATAAACTCTATCTGGATAGGCTAAGCAGGCCTCTGAGGGGAGGAAGTCCAGACACAACAATTTCTCGTCCGAGCCACAATCTCCTCATTTTCTCGTCCGAGCTACCTCGGAATCCTCGTCCTTCGATTATTTTGTGTTAAAAAGTTTCCAATTCTTGAAGATAAAACTATGTTTAAAAAATCTGGCCACGTTAGTGCTTTAAATATGGATGGACTAAAGTATTGCAATGATTATATTATGTTGGAATCTTCAAACCCATGAGAATGATGTCAAACTTTATTTAGGTAAAACTTAAATCTCCTCTGCCTCCGTAATGGCTAACCTTCATGATATAAAATAAATAACAAAATATTTGGCTACCTCTGCCTATAATTTTCCACATGGAACCACCCGGAAAAATTCTATGGTTTTCACTATGTTAACAAAAAAGATTGAAGTTCTATAAACTTGGAATTATTTGCGGCATTCTATACCAGGAGTATCTGGAAATGCGCGTAAATAAGGTGAACATTTTTAAAGACATTAAACTTGAAATCTTTAATTCAATTGAAACGTTTTTTTTTATATTTACAAATATTTGATATTTCATTTATGCCCTAACGTGGCTTGATTCTTTAAAAATAGTTTTATCTTGAAGGATTAGACACTTAAAAAAAATAATATTGAAAGGAAGAGGATTGCGAGGTGGCTCGGTCGAGAAAATTAGGAGAATGTGGCTCGGACGAGAAATTGTTGTGGTTGGCCTTCCTCCCCTCGGCCTATAGTGTCCCAGCACACCATGCTACAGTTCCTTGAAAGGTTTGTTGACTGCCATCTAACGGCCAATTGTTGCATATAACAACTTTTAGAGAAATACTTAAACTTTTAAAATAAAACATAAAATCTATGAGGTTAGTCTACTTTTAAAGATTTTGTATTTCATAGCAAAAGAATTCTTAAATATCCATGAAAACAGATGTCAGCTGATTAGTCGTGTACAGTACTTGCTTACAATATAACCTGCTGTCGAAAATAGTGCATAAGTTTTAGGTTTCAATTGATCTCAGTAATCACCTACAAGAAGAATTACATAAAGTTTATTTAGACCTAAATTTGTGAATCATCAGAAAATGGGTCCCTAAACTTTTTCAAAAATGAAATAATGCTT